AAAGTTCAGTGGCGACTCTGTTGAATTGCATTTCCGCGCCTTTAGCGCGAGGGTCGTACGTTCTTGATTTGATTTTTTGAGGTACGACAACTGGCGATTCTGCTGGGGATTTATTGCTCCATGCAAGAGAAATTCGAGCCTATCTTAGTTCGATTTGTGAGCTTGTTAGCTTCGCTTATTTGTTTTTCTTCTCGTTTGTTATTTGTTCTCCTATCACTACAAGAAAATTTGTCAATACCCAGGGCCAAAAACCCTCGGTAACAAGAAAAAGCCGTGGGAAAAGTAAATTACCGAGGGCTTACCAACGACTATGGGGCCCTCGGTATTTCGCTCCTTGGTAACGTCTACCGACGGCTATATAAACCCATGATATTATCCACGGCTAAACCGTGAATAGTTTGCGGGTAATAGGTTATCAAATATCAAATTTTTTGTCTTATATTATCCACGGTTAAGCCGTCAGTAAATTTACCGAAGGCAAAGCCGTCTGTAAATTTACCGAGGGCTAAGCCATCAGTAAAGTTACTCAATTTTTGGTATAACTTTACTGACGGTTAAGCCATCTGTAGTATTATAATTTTTTTAATCAAAAATACCAATATTTCATCAATAGACTTATTTTGTTAATATTTTCCCTGTTTGAAGACAATATGAATATTTTTTCGTAACATCTTATAAATATTTTTTCATAACAACTTATTAATAAATAAAAACTCTTTTATGAATATTTTTTTATATTATAAATCTACAAAACTCTTTTTTTATCATGACCATAATTATATATAACATTTCAACAAACAAATCTCAAACAAAAACTCAAACCTTAATATCAATGAGATCTCAAAAAATATTCCATTCAACAAGTTTGATGTAAACAAGCTTAAACAAAACATAAAACATGTTCAATCAAAATATAATGTGATTGTCAAAGTATTCTCATGAGTAAAAGTAAAGCATAATATGATCTTAAATGCTTCCAATAGAGTCATCATCACTGTCGGAGTCATCATCATAGTCTGAATGACGACGACGACGTTTGTCACCTTTGATAGAAGCAACACTTTCAGCTAATTCCCTCAATTGTCTTTCCAAATCTTGTGTGCGTTTATTTGCCTTGCGACATTCCTCTCGTGCAACTCGAGCATCTTCCTCTGCAGCATTTGCTCTCTCTTCAATTGTTACCATTTGTGCAGCAATCTCAGCAGAAACTTGACCGCTACATGTAGATACACGTGACTGTTGGGTTATTAACGAGGAAACACCTGGCTTGTAATGCTTAGACAAGTCACCAGCACCATAGAGACGCCCTCTAGTCTTTCCACCGGCAGCTTCAGCCCAAAAATTTAGTCGAGTTGCAGAATCAACTTCCTTAGGGCCACTATTTGATGTCTCTCCTACTTGAGAGGCGTGTTTTAGCTTCTCTTGAAATGTTTCCTGATAAAAAAATACTTAAAATTATATACATTACAATATTTTCATGATACGAACTAACAGAACAATAATCATTTAATTGTTTGTTGAAAGTAGCAAAAACAGGAATTTCGACCAAAATCTATTAATTGTATGTAACTTGTCCTTTTCAAATAAATGGTATTAAAGATTTTATCCAAGCATACATCAAAATTTAGTAATTACACTTACATATGTCTTCTTTGATCTTTCGTCCACCCATGAGGAGTCCTTCTTTTTTGTATGAGTCCTTAAGAAGACTTCATCTAATGTGGGCTCTCTACCTAATTCCCGACGCTTATGCATTATAAAAAATTGATGTCAAATGTTAGGAAAAAATAAATTATGAGCTAAAGTTTAAGGAATCAAGTGTTTAAAATGAATGACATACCATTCGTATGATGTGCTCATTTGTGGATATGGAGCCACCCGTATGGACAGATCCACCCTTAGCAGATGCCCGATTTTTCTTATTCCTGGCAGCTTTGACCTTATACTCTGGTGTTTCCCATTTAATTTTGAGCCCTTTCCAAGCACCCTCTCCCATCCAAGATGGACGTTCTTGTTTCTTCCTTGCATCCATCAGAATCTCTGAGAGGCGCTTTGAGCCTTTGCTCTTAAAGATACTCTTGAGTTCAAACTCATCCTCAGGCCGCCAAGCAACTATTTTCTGCAACATTTTAATAATAGACAAATTAAGAAGCAACGGATTAGAAGACCAGGTCCAAACCTCAAAACCAGAAGAAAAAAAATCATATAACATTAAAATAATAGTTCCTTGCAGGCTATAAAATTTTAGTTGTTGATTTTTTTTTAAGGTAATTTAGTTTATGTTTCAGTCAGACTTATACTTTTGGTGCCACAATTTAGTCATTCTATGGGGGATAATTTGTAGGTCTGGATCATGGACAGGAGGACATGGAGGCTGGGTTGAGCTTTCTGGTAAAATGCAAGTCTTGGCTAGAAATATGATTTATCATATAAGTTTAGTCCATATAACCTATCACTTTTAATGGAGCAATAAAGGCTAGTTTTTTTATTTTATCTAACCTAACAGATATAAACCACATCTATTATTCAATTTTACGTGGGTGAATCTAGATTGCATTAAGTGTTGATAGTGCCGCCCTTTTGTTTGAAAATTGAAATACTGTTAATGGTAGTCTGATAGATACTGTTTTAAGAAATGGGAATTAACAGAAGTAAGAAGAAAAATAATTTTATTGAATTGACTCCTCTTACACTGGTGATTTGAGTACCTAATCCCTCCCACCGAAAACTATCCGATCAGCTAATTGCTTTCTCCTACATTGAACCAGAGTATCCCACATTGAACCAGGCACTTTATAAGCACTCACTTTCCTATGAGTTGGAAGTTTAAAAATAGTATCCATTTGATCATAAGCTTGCGCAATGAGAACTGGATCAACACCATGGTTAATCACTTGGAAAAAACCATGGTTCAAACAAGCCTCACGAACCAGGCACTTTATAAGCACTCACGTGGGGTTGAACTTGAAGTTCACACAATAATTGACATGAATTCATCATCTCACGAACACTAAACTATAGTGATGTTGCTTATAGAGTATAGGAGACGGATAGATATATATAGGGTAAACCATAGTGATGTTGCTTATTGAATATTAATTATTAGCTAGCCTGCAAGGAACTATGTATTTTAATATTATTGTTACTTATTTATTTATTTTTCTTTTAAAAACAATTCATATAATTTTTTGTTCACAATGAAAGTACTTTTTTAATCTTATTACTTTATAGTTAAGTTAGCTATCCTAACTAAACAAATTATAAACAAATTAGAAGTACATAAATTAGCTATCCTATTTAGTTATTAATAACTCTCTATCAAAACTAAACAAATTATAAATAAATTAGAAGTACAGAAATTAGAAAAACTAAACAAATTAACAAACTTACCCCAAATTTCGTGAACATCCTATTCACCCTTTTATCTGGTATCTCCCTCCAACTAATCCATGCCTTACGGAATTGTGACTCAATTACTTTGGTAAGGGCCCTCGAGGCCACCCTACACGGGTTCCACCTACATGCAAATTATAAACAAAATATTAAAATACATTATAGACACGTCAACATAAGTGATAAATTAACATAAAACAAATATGTACCCTCTCCCATATGGAAAAATATAGGGCCTCCCATCAGTTGTCTTATGAATCTCATGACAAGAGTGTCTTGATTCTTGCACCAGATCATCACTGGTTTGCACATGTAGCGAACCAGATTGAGTGTTTGGATCCGACATATGTCGTGAACCTTGAGCTGATGAGGAAGGATCTCTGACATGTAAAGATGTTTCTATTGCCTCATGTGGCCTAAAATCTGGAGTTGGCACCATAGTTATAGGTGGATCTTTTGGATTCTCATTGTCTTGTATCTCCGCATCCACTTGTCCAGAATCATGTTGTTCCACTTCCACTTGTCTTTCATCTTGTTGCTCCACATCCATCTGCTCCACATCATGTTGTTCTAGTTCTAGATGCCTTGCATTATGTGCATTCTTAGCTGCTTGAGTCACCTTATGCGGCAAAACCATCTTCCTTTTCTGCTTTGGTGGGATCACCCTACCTTTTCCTTTTGGAGGCATCTGTAGAGAAAAAATAATATATATTAACTTTTAAATACTAAAAATAACAAAGAACTAAAATATATGCACTAGTAACAATTTTATGCGATTATAATGAAAAAAGTAGTCATTATATACACATTTTACAATGATTCACAAGTGAAAGTATCAAAAATATTTTATATGGTTTAATCTTGAATTGCAAAACAAGTTGCTCTAGCTATTTTCTTCAACTCACTTTTGGAATGTGTTGAAGATATGGATAATATGGTGTTAGTAACTTCATCATCGATATTATTATCTTCCCTATAATCATTATCTGCACTAGCATTAATTTGCATGCTAGAAATTAATGTAACATCAACTTCTTCATCACTATGTGTTTCATCGTGCAAGCCGGTTATATCTTCAATTTCAGTTATCTGTTCAACGTGAGCCATCTCTTCATCTTGATATGGTGTATCATCATCAATGTCAACAACCTCTATACGACCTCTGGGCTTTGTCTTTATCACTGCACACCAACCACGTTTGTCTACACGCATTTCTGGGTAAGGTACATAATACACTTGTTTGGCCTTTTGTGCAATTATGAATGGATCATAACGATCATATTTTTTGTTCATCTTGATATCTACAATATCATAATGAGGATGAACTTTTGTTCCTCTACCTCGTTTTGGATCAAACCATTGACAGTAAAACAAGGCTACTTTGTGAGATAATTCATGATACTCCAACTCAAAGATATGTTTAATGACTCCATAGAAATCATCTTCCCCACCTTCTGTAATCCCCTTCACATAAACCCCACTATTTATGGTCTTTTTACCTTGACTCCATGCTTGTGTGTGGAATTTGTACCCATTAATGAAGTATTTGTGCCAACTCATGGCATTTGATTCAGGACCCCAAGATAATGATATTAGTTTTTTGTCTGTCACACCATTTCCCTTGAGGCATACAATCTTTTTAACCTTGGAGTGATTGGAAAGTAGTGCATTCTCTTAACCGGAACGTCATTGTAATTACCCATCCCAGGCTTACGAGGAGCATATCGTGGTTCATGGCAAAACCTACACTCTCGATCTGCAATCGTATCTTTGTAGTACAACATGCACCCATTCACACAACAATCAATTTTTTGAGACTTCAAACCAAGCATGGACACCAACTTTTTTACTTGGTAGAAATTTTTTGGCAATGAATCCTTTGAAGGGCACACTTCTAGAAGCATGTTTGCAAAGAAATCAATACATTTTTGAGGTACATTCCAATTTGTTTTGCAAGCCATAAGCTTCAGACATACTGAAAGTTTCGATTCAGAAGCACCCTCATATAATGGTTGGTTTGCAGAAGTTAGCAGATCATAAAATTCTTGAGCTTCCTTATTTGGTGGCTCTTCATGATTGTCTTCCTTATTAACATGTTCTCTATCAACCTCATATTCATCGACATTATCTTCATTAATCCCCCTTTCCTCACCAACCTCGTTCTCATTTCCCACATCCTCGTTAACATTATATTCGTTATCGACATCCTTATCACCTTTGTTGCCCATACTTCGAAAATCATAATCAGACCCTATTGCATCCTCGACCATATGTTGCATTAATTCAAAATGGTCTTCATTATCCACATGTCTACTACTAATTGGTACATTTGTTGAGTCAATACGTGGGGCTTTTTCACCGTGATCTGTCCAATACCAATAATTTGGTTGGAATCCATATTTATACAAGTGAAATCTAACGTCACCTTCGGACAATACCGGCACACACATGCACTTGTTACAAGGACATCTAATTCCACCATCGCGTTCAACATTAAGTTGCATTTTAGCCTTTTTAATGAACTCATCAACCCCGTTTACAAAGGTTAGTTTCAAACCCCCCCTATGAGGATAATGCCTATCATATACCCAACTACGTTCTGGAGGGTAACGATCCATATACAATCAGCAATCTAGACAGAAGCTATCTAGACAGAAGAAATAAATTAAAAAATCAGCAATCTTATCTATAACTATATTTTAAAATCCAATTTCATCCACTACAAAAATTAACTGTGCAACATAACTTCCCACACTAAATTATATGCAGTTACCAAATAAATAGTACAAGATAAGAGCATCTAACTACATATATCTCTATTGAATTTAGATAGTTCAATCTAACTATCCAAATAAATTATAAGAACACAAATTATATTAATTCTTACCTTCGACTTACATCCTAGTTTGTTAACTTCTGTCCACATGATACTTGGCAACAATTACATCCTAGTTTAGATTTATGAGGATTATCTTTCAAAAAGACTTATTTTATAGTTTGTTAAGAGTACATATCTAGAATCTTGCAGTCCACACAAGTGGAGTTTTCTTTAAAAAAATATAATAATAAGTAGTTTATTTAGTGTTTAATAGAAAAGAAGGCTAAGTTTACATCCATTAGAAAGTGTGATAAAAAGATTGTGCTGCTAGCATATCTTATTAGACAAATAAAACAATTACTCCAACTCAATAGAAGTTTATTTCCATTTTCACTTCACAAATCTACCATGTTGCAAACTACAAATGTTCTCAAGTTCCAAAATGATCAATCAGTCGTGGCAATATACTTCATCTGATTCTTTTAACATTAATTTATTTTAATATTAATGTACTCTTAAATGACATTTATAATTGATTTAAAACTTGAAATAAATGGACAAAATTAAGAGTAAACAAACAAAACCGATATTTCATACCCAAAAATATGTTCATGAGTTTGTACCTAAAAGATAACATACAAGAAGACTATAGAAATGGATATGATTGGGATTAGTAATATGCTGTCATAGTAATATGCATACATTTTTCTGTGCCTGTCATTTTAGTGATATATATTAAACTTTAGTCAATTTTACTACATAGATATGGATATGATTGGGATTAGTAATATGCTGTCATAGTAATATGCATACATTTTTCTGCATTTATAGTTTAATTGCAGCCAAGTTAACTGCATAAGTTTCTGTTTTCCTTATAAATATAAATATACATTGCTATTAGACTATAGAAACAAACAACACCTAAACAGTCTCATCTCACTTTTCCATCATCTCAGTATTGAATAATTATTTAGTAATATTAATAAATATTCTAATTCTTAATTGATATATTTATATAGATATCTATCGCATGGCCATAGGAAATATGGGAAAGAAATAAAAATAATGCCAAAGAATTTTATCTCTACAGGACTTCAAAGTGAGTCTTGCACACTGTTTTAAGAAAAGAAGATCACACTTGTTTCATAAAAATAAATTGCTACAATATTATGAATTAAAAAGAACCACCTTCATTGATACATGATCAATGCTACAGGGCTTAGGAAGATGTCACTACATCACTATTAAATTTCACTACATTTTGTAAGTAATATTTTCACTTTCCTTTACAAAACAATTTCACTTATATATACTAACAGTCTCATCTCACTTTTCCATCATCTCATAATACCTCCTTTCTATTTCTATTTACTTTCTTCTTTATCTCATTACATAACACAAATGCCTATCTTAACATTAGTATTATCTTCACAGTTTTTCTCACAATTCCACTGCTTCATTTGATCTCAGCTAGAAAGCTCGTCTCCTTAATGGCAAAATCTCCATTAACCTCATTTGGTATGGAAATTTCAAACCATCCCAAAGAGCCATCATCACTGATTTCATAACTCTCTTCTCCAAAAAAAATAACTACATCACAATCCTCTGTTTCTACATGGTGGAAATCAATAAATCTTACTCTCTCCCTCGGTGCTCAAATTCACGACGACAATTACACTTTAGGAAAATCTTTTACAACTAACCAAATCATTAAACTCGCATCCAAAGGACAACAACAGAACTCCATCTACATTGCTCTAACAGCTTCTGACATGGTAGTTGGTGGTTTCTGTTCAGGTAGGTGTGGGACACACGATCTTCTTACGGTACGTGCATGAACGGGAAACAACACAAATTTGTTTACATTTGGGTTGAAAACTATAAAACCCGATTTGCTAGTCAGTGTGCTTGGCCATTTCACCAACCAATTTATGGTCCACAAAGTTCACCATTGGCTGCACCAAATAATGATGTTGGTCTTGATGGAATGATTATAAATGTGGGTAGTCTTTTAACTGGAACCATAACAAGAAGAAGACCTCATATAATGGACCACAGGTGACACTAGAGGTAATTTCTCAACAAAGTTGCTTGGTTTTTACTTAGTTTCTATATATTATTGGTCCTTCAAGTTAAAGTATTGTATGACCCTTAGACATGATATATTCAACTATTTTCATTTGACATTTTCTCATTATTACCGGTGCATTTGTCAGTGTTATTTTCTGTGCCAGTGTTTGAGCATTGTTAATTTCAACTTATATACAACAAATAGGATATATAACTTGTATAAACATACTAACTCAAGCTTGTGTATATTTAATAATAATGAATTATAATCTATACGGAGAAATGAAGCAGAAAAATAACAGGGTTCTGTTACCTGAAGAACTGAAAGTGACAGAAACCAAAAGCTGGAGAACTGAAGAACTGAAAAATAACAGGGTTCAGCTTGATTCCAGCAGCAACAGAAACCAAAAGCTTGTCCTTAAAGTGACTTCAATTTCAACGCAACTTTCTTTTACTGCAACAACAACAACAACAACAAAGCTAGTCAATAACGACAATGTTTCTTTCCTAAATAATGTTCAAATCGATGAAATACCTGATTAAGGTTTAACCGAGAAAACGTCGATGTTGCTCGCACGAATGATCTAGAGAGAAATAATCAGAAAATGAAAACGCAAATGTAATTACGAGTAAAAGAGATGAAATGGAATACGCTGTAGTTGGAAGAAAGGACGATGATGCTGATGGTCTCAAAAGTGGTGCAACGAACAGGGTTAAACTGAGTGCTTACGATGCGGGAAGGTGGAAAGACGCAGTAGAAGGTTGGGTGAAGTGTCGATTGAAGGTTGTTTGAGAGAGAAAGTGATGGGAATAAGAATCAACCAGTAAGAAAAGACGGCGATATTGTATAGAGGAGATTCAACGATTGGAGTTAGAAGATGGAAACCCTTGTTTTCCTTTTCAGTTTTTTTTTTTCTTTTTTCTATTTTCTATTTTTTTTTTTAATTTTATCCTAAAGTATGAGATTGAGAGGAGTGAGGATCATGTTGACTTAATATTTTTTCTTTTGAAATGTGTAAAATTTTATTTATTTTAGATAAATATCTATTTTATAGTTATATATTATTATATAAGTTACAAAGACAACAAATGTTTAAGTATAAGATTTTAAGTAATTTTTAGTTCCTTTTAAAAATATCATTAGTTTTTTTTTTTTAATTTATATTAAAAAAAAATTATTGATTAATAGTATATATAAGTTTATAAGACTTTACCGAGGGTTTAACCGTGGGTAATTACCGACGGTGCAAAACCGTGGCTGCTTTCCATGGCTAAGCCGTGGATAATGTTTAAAAAAGATATAATTGATATTGTTTCAGGTACTCACGAATTACTGACGAATAAACCCTCTATACCAAAAAAATTATCGACGACTACATGGCCGTGGGTAATGATCCGTGGGTATATACAACTTTTCTTGTAGTGTATCCTTATCTTTGTTTCTTTTGATTATTGTGGCAATTGTTGGGTTGATTTGCTTATGGGTACTTTGTGAGATGACTCTATACTCGAGTCCGACTAAAACCCTAGGATTAGGATGGTGGTTGTGTAGTGGATACTTGCGTGGGTTCTTCCACATAAGGCCGAAGCGAAAACCACGCTTGGAGTAGATTCCCTTGGATATGTTATTATTGTGGTGAGTCTTTTCCATGACACTAATATTTTCGAACTCGAGTCGTTAATCCCAAGGACCATTAACCCGTTTTATCCATGGTGGTTGGTAGTCTTAACTCCTTTTTGGATTAATACGAACGCCCCAATCAAATGAGATCCCTTGAACATATTACTTCCTAACAGTAATATTTTCAACCTCGATCTATGACTCTAAGAACCTGTTTTAGAACCCGTGTGTCGATGGTTGTGTAGTTGAAACCTCTGAGGAGTCTTTCTCATATGGAAGATACGAAAACCTCACCTAGAAGAGATCCTTTATAGGATATTGTTGTCGTGATGAGGCTTTTTCATGGCTATAACATCTTTGAAAGATATCCATGATTCGAGGCACTTACCCGTTTTAGATTCCTACCCGTGGGGTTTCTTTGAGCAGTGACTGTGGTTCCTAACCGGTTCATCTGGCTAACTTCATAATTGTTTGAACCTGTGATCCTGCAGTCTTGGATCTTGCATTGCATCTTGCATTGTATATCACTAACATTGTATTGCATCTGTTATGCATCTTGCATTTTCATTCCTTTAGTAGATTCTCATTTCTTCTTCCTTCCTCTCCAGTAAATCAAGCTGATTCCTCGACACTAGTATGCGACTAGAGCCAATACAACACGAATGATGGAGCAGATTTAGCAAGAATAAGTTGCCTTTAGAGAAGAGCTGGATTCCCTCAAAGGAAAGATTGACCAGATCCTCGAAGCCATCACTACGCCCCAAAAGGAAGAAGAGCTACGTGAAGCTGCTGTCGTCAACAACAATGGTCAGGTGCAAGGGTCCACCTCAAGGCTTTTAGTTCTTGTCCCCAACCCTTATGGGATGCCAATGAACTTCGCTACCATAGCTGAAGGAACCACTTCTCAACAGATCCCAACGCTTGGAGTCACTGTTGGAGCTATCCCGCAGGCCCAACCTATCGTTGTTCAAATCCTCGTTCCTCATACCGAACAAAATCTGTTGGACCAGTATGATGATGTTCAAAATTATCATGCTGCTATCCCCATTCCTAGTCCTGTTGCTGCTCAGGATTCTGAAGCTACCAAGATGTGTCGTGATCAAGCTGAA